CGCAGCCCCTGAATTTGAACTCAGCCTTAGTGTTCTCCACTCTGGCAGCATCTTTTATCAAGAAACTCCCAGAAACTAGAATCAGCCATAAGCACAAATAAATAATGAGAAAAGAAACAGTAGAAAAACTAAATGTGTCTGCTTGCAAATAGATTTTTTTATTATTATTTTTATTTATTTTTTTAAATCATTTTACAACAAAGTAGTGTTGTAATGTAAATTAATAACCAACCTTAATGGAGCGCGGCTATAGGTTTTGTCATCACACAGCTTAAAGATTTTAGCAGAGATGGGAGATCTGGACTCAGCAAGTCATATTTATGTCATGTATTTTGTTCTGCCCAGCCACTTAACCAGGTGACGCCAATCTGCACAGATTAATTAACTCTGCAGATAATTGGATCTCTGGATTTTAGAGTAAACTAGGCAAGGAAATAATTTTAACAAGAGAAAGGAGGGCAAATATAACATTTAAATTAAAAACATGCTCTCAAAATAAAACTTGAAATATTAAAACTTGTAAAAATGTTTTAATACACTGATAACCAAATATTTTCAAATGTGCTGGCAGGAAGCCTGCAAACATGGTCGGATCCAGGATTTCATTATTTCCATAGTTTTGAATGGGCTGCAGTAAATGGTTCAAATTAATCAGTTAAAATCGTTTTTAATTTCCATATGTTTTGAATGAAGGGCTGAGTTAGAAAGCTACTGTTTTACTGTCATTCAATGTAGCAAGACCAAAAAATGAAAAGCAAGTATAATTGCTATGATATTCTTTAAATCTTATTATATTCTTTACATTTAAAATTAGTTTATTTGTCCAGCTTCAGTTGTCACCCTGTTAGTTACCCACATCAGGTGAGTGGCAGCAAAATAAATAAATAAATAAAAAATACTTCAAAATATTGTTGGGTGATGCTGGAACAAAAAGAAGTAAAAGTATATTTCACAAAGAATATCTGATGTAATGAGGAATTCAGGTGAGGCGATATGCAAGTTTCATTTTAATACAGGAATTTTGGTTTCCTGTTGCTTTTGAGTGAAGGAGGATTTGTAGAAAATATCATAAAGCCACTAAAATGCACCAACTGTAAAAACAGATACAGAAAAAAGAAACTATTTGGAGCAAAATGACCAAAGTGTGGTTCTGTGAAGTATTGTGTGTTTAACGTGTAACTATTCATGTAACTATTAAGTTCAGAGCTACAGCTACTCTGCCCTCTGGAGGTAGAGGAGGCATTTAGCATCCAAAGGTTGTGGGCTCGATTCCAGCTCCTTTCAGCCACATTTTAAAGTGTCACTGAGCAAAGTTATCACAAGCTCCCTATTGGTTTAAATACCAATGTGCTAATAATGGAATTTGGCTGCAATGTAAATGTTCTGTCGATATTACAGATGTTATGGAGCTGCATTTATTTATCCTTGTTTCTGGTCTCTTATTTTACAAATAGACCAACAGTGTGTGAGTGCCTTTTAATAAAATGGTTTATGTAAAACTTTTTATATATATATATATATATATATATATATATATATATATATATATATATATATATATATATATATATTTATTCAGAGAAGCTTTTTGTCAAGCATTATGGAATAAACCATTTCCATAGTCGTATTAATTAAATATATTAGCTGCATGTATTTGAAGGCACATGTAGCTTTGGTAGTTCCAAAAAAATTATTTTAAGCTGAAATGAAACAAGAAGAAATGTGTCACTGATCTTAGACTGGATAGACCACAAAAAGTTTTTTATAGTCAAAAAGTGATGTAGATGATGACTTCCCAAACTTTACACACTAGTTTATCATGAATAAAAATAATAATAATTAATTAAAAAAAAACTTTTAACACTTATATTTAATTATAAATAAAAGGTAAGTAATTTTAAAGCCTATTTTTTTCTCTCTTTTTTCTAAATCAAACATCAAAGTCAACTCCTGGTTTTAAAAGTTTGCTCCCAGTGAAACGTTTAAACCATATTGTAATTCACACTCTGACCTCATGATGGCAGTGTTATCTTACTTTTACAGAAGATGTTCCCTCCAGCGGGTAAACCAGACTCAAAACCATGATGATAAAATGGTTTAATTTCACATAATATTTAAAAAAGCAACTACAAGGATTCCTCCAAAAAGAAATAAACATAAACTAACCTTAACACAAAATTATGTTTTAAAAAAGTTTGATGTTTCTGCAAATAGTTTAAATAAGATGTTGTTTTATAACAAATATCTGTTTTCGAATTTGATGAATCTCGGATTCAGGAGGAGCAGCGTGGTATTCGTCCTGGCCGTGGAACACTGGATCAGCTCTACATCTTCTTCAGGTTCCTGGAGGGTCCATGGGAATTTTCCCAACCAGTCTACATGTGTTTTGTGGATCTGGAGAAGGCATTGGACTGTGACCCTCGGGAAGTCCTGTGGGGGGGTACTCCGGGAGTATGGAGTTGTAGTGAAGAGAGAGCTGAGCCAAAAGGCAAAGCTCTCAATTTACCCATCAATCTATGTTCCTACCCTCATCTATGGTCATGAGCTCAGGGTCATGACCAAAAGAATGAGATCCCGGATACAAGCGGCTGAAATTCTCAGTGGGTTTTCTCCATATTGTGTCTGGGCTCTCCCTTAGAGATAGGGTGGAGAGCTCAGTCATTCGGGGAGGACTCGGAGTAGAGCCGCTGCTCCTCCACATCGAGAGGAGCCAGTTGAGGTGGCTCGGGCATCTGGTTAGGATGCCTCCTGGACTTCTCCCTGGTGAGGTGTTCCAGGTACGTTCCACCGGGAAGAGGCCCAGGGGGAGACCCAGGAAACGCTGGAGGGACTATGTTTCTCAGCTGGTCTGGGAACGCCTTGGGATTCCACCGGAGGAGCTGGACCCGGTGGCTGGGGAGAGGGACGTCTGGGCCTCCCTACTGAAGCTGCTACCCCTTTGACCCGACCCTGGATAAGAGGAGGAAGATGGATGGAATTTGATTTTGTTGTTTTTTCATAAGTCATGAGATAAGTCATGATGATCAGTGTTATATTAAAAAATGGGGGGAACTTTGCTAGTCCCAACTGTAGAGTTGGGTGGAAGCAGCATCGATATATGAGGGTGTTTTGCAGCTTTTCACCAAACATTTTGCATCACAAGTACAGACGATTATGAAATCCTAAAGCAGCATATTAAGATTCCTTATAGGAAGTTAATGGTTGGGTCCAAAGGTGTCCTACAAATGAACAGTGGTGGAATTTCACAAAGTACATTTACTTGATTACTGTCCTTAAGTTCTTTTTTTGAGTATCTTCACTTGAGCAATTTTTTCGTGGGTACTTATTACTTTCTACTCCACTACATTTCTTGGAAGCTGTTAGGTCCTTATTCCTTATGGCTCAGCTCAGCTTTGTAATCCACTGTTGCCTTTTTTACTTTCTTGGAATTTAATTTCAACATGGCAGACAGCGGCCCTTAGGGCTGAATCTGGACACCACTGTTTTTTTGAGATGTGGATGAAATTCTACAAATGTGAGGGTCAGATATTATTAGTAGTTAATCATTTTATCAAGGCGTTAGTTGTTGTCATGAGGCCAAGTTGTTCAGTAGGATGAGTCTTAAAGTAGAGTTGTAGATTCTTTGTGGTAACAGATTTAACTGTAATCCACTTTTCATAGTGAAAGTGTGATGACTTTTCAAAACAAGGATATAAAGACTGCAGTCCAAACATCTTCTACATTTTATGTGTTGTTTTTTTTATGGATATGACTAGATCTCTGTGTGTTATGTTGCAAAATAATTTGTAAATAATAGAAATGACTATTGGACAATAGAGCATCTAATCCCCTTTTAATCCCAGGATTAAAGGACTAATGTCTCAGCATGATCTGGAAAAACTAATCCATGCGTTTATTTTTAGTCGAATTGATTACTGCAACGGTGTTTTCACAGGTCTGCCTAAAAAGTGGATCAGACAGCTGCAGCTGATCCAGAATGCTGCTGCCCGTGTCCTCACTAAGACTAAGAAAGTAGAGCACATCCCCCCAGTTCTAAAGTCCTTCCACTGGCTCCCTGTATCTCAGAGAATAGACTTTAAAATCCTTCTGTTAGTCTATAAATCTCTGAATGGCTTAGCACCTAAATACATCACAGACTTGCTATCAGTGTATCAACCCTCCAGACCACTCAGGTCTTCTGGCTCCAGCCTGCTCTGCAGACCTAGAACCAGAACTAAACATGGAGAAGCAGCATTTAGTTCCTATGCTCCACTTATCTGGAACAAACTTCCAGAAAACTGGAAAAGTGCAGAAAGCCTGAGTTCCTTTAAATCAAGACTAAAAACACATTAGTTTAGGATTGCCTTCCACTGTTCTAGTTAAACAATTCAACTAAAACATATTTTCTTTAGTCCAACTGTTTTTAATATTTTTTTTTGTTTCTGCATTTTTTATTTTATTTTTTTATTTTTTCCTACTTGCTTTGATTCTGTTTTATCTTCCTGTATTTTAATCATGTAAAGCACTTTGCATTGTCTTTGTACTGAATTGTGCTATACAAATAAATTTGCCTTGCCTTGCCTTGCCTTTAAATGGATAAGCAACATTTTCCCCTTAGGTTATTGTAACTGAGGTAATAATGTTTTGACCAAAGAAGAAGAGATCCAGAGTAATCTCACAGTTTGACTAAAAGTTACACTACCTACCTCTGTTTTTTTCTGTGCTATTGCTTTAAATGTGAAACTGAGCATAAATAAACTAGAATATCCTGTAATTCCAGGCTTCATTCTGTATTTTGGTTTTGGGGGAAAACCCCTCAGGGGTTGAGGGCTAAGGAGGGGGTTTTAAAGTTTTAAGAATCAGCTGATACACCATCTTCTGTGATCCTTCATGTGTTGTGATTCAAATGTGTTTCATCACTGCCTCCTTCAGGTTTAGGTATTGGTGTCCCAGTGACCTCAGGGTTAATGTCAGTGTGACTTCAGGGTTGGTAGAGAGCAGACAAAACAGGGTGACACATCAGCTCCTGAGTGTTGGACTTTTCCAGACGATGCATGACGTGTGCCTTTCTGCAGCTTCTGATCAAGACTGAGGTAGTTTTTAAGAGGAGTCCTGACTTAGCATCACTCTTTAGCATGAAACTTTCTAAAAATCCAAAGAACTTCCTTCTCCTCATCCTTCTCGGTTTTCTGCTGCTGCTGGAGACCTTCAGGTGGGTGGAAACGACCAATTTCTAACTGCTTAAAATATTTAAACATACAGAAGGGTTAAACTATGACTGCTGCAAATGTAAGCGAATAAAATGGACAGTATGTCATTTGTGCAAGCTAACTGTAAATTTAGCTTCTATTGTACTACAAGCTTGTTTGTGGGGATTACTCAACAGCCTTGAACCTAGATAGAGAGCATTATAGTAACATAAACAGCTGAGAAGAGCATGGAGTGACTCCAGCACAACCAGAATAGTCCAGACTCACCGGCTCTGTTAAAAACATTAGATCTAAAAGCCTGAACACTGGCTGCGAATTTTTAATCTCCGATCCAATTTTTTTCCATGTTACACTGACTGCATATAGAGAGGCTCCCACTAGGCATGGTGAGCAGATCTGTGCAGATTATTTTTTTTGCTTTTTTTTACTTCTGTCTCTTTACTTCTGGCTAAATACATTTAAAAAACAGCGGCACATTCTATAAAGCAAAGCCCCACTTCACGAGTCTGCAGCTTCTCACACCAGAACAGATAAAGAATGTTCTTATATTAAAAACATAATGAGATCTATGTCTAAAGAAAAGAGAAACACAGCAATAAACGCAGTTGGACGGTTTCTATGCTGACTGAGGCAGAGAGGCGACTCTCAGAGAGACATCTGGGAAGTTTATCCCAGTTTTTCTTTCTTTTTGTCATGAAGAGGTGAAAGAGATACACCCTTTCCTTCTCTGTCTGGCCCTCGTTATTTTCTTTTGTGACTGTTTCCCTGTGCAGATTTTATCTTATATATTTACTTTGGATCCGTGTCTCTTTTCCTCTCAGACCCATGAAATTGCTGCTGCATTGCTGCGTAGTCTGACTGAAATAGTCCTGAGGTCCCACACAAAGCAGGCAAAGAATGCATACCAAACTTCTCACTACTGTTCTGGGTGCTAATTAGATTTCTGAGGAGCTTCAGCAGTAGTACCATCATCTCAGATATCAGATTTATAGTCCCCGCACTGAAGATATATGGGAATCTGAGCTTAAATGTCATCCAAACCCATTTTCACAGCGACAGATAAAACCTTTCAATAAACCAAACATTACCCACCAAATATATATATACATTTGGACTTCTTTTGGTCTGTTTTACATAGTAGAAAATGGTTTATCAATATATCAAAAGAGTAAATAAATAACATTAAGTATATAAAAATATATTTAACAGTAAGAATGTAAGCTGGGAACAAGTATGATTTAAGTACACTACCTATAGTTTACAACATGTCACCAGTTCTTAAGACGCATAATCTCCTGGCGTACTGGGCCCATGCTAGCAAAAACTATGTCTCAAATAAATGTAGTTAATTTTGTAGCCTATTCCATAATTATGAGATAGTATCTCATACTAAACTATGTAAACCAGTAATGGAGGTCTAACCAGAGTAGAAAAAGAAGTGGGAGGCCGCGTTGCACAACTGAGCAAGAAGATAAGTACATTAGAGTCTCTAGTTTGAGAAACAGACGCCTCACAGGTCCCCAACTGCCATCTTCATTAAATAGTACCTGCAGTAGCCTGTTTGTGCTGTCCTCTGAAGGGAGTCGTACACACTGTTGTAGAAAATCTTCAATTTCTTAGCAATTTCTCTCATGGAATAGCCTTCATTTCTATGAACAAGAATAGACTGTCAAGGGGATATGGGTTCAGCCACATTATGCTTTAGTTGTTGACATCTTCTCAGTCATGAGAAAATGGCTAAAAGCTTGATGACAGAAATTCACACAATATTCAATTGTTTAATTAATATGCTTTGTTAACATTATATCTTCACCTCGGTAACAGGACCACTGAGAGTAAGTGTGCCTGGTTAACTTTTGTTGTTCTGCAGGTCCCACTGGCCTTTCAGGATCTCTCAGCCACCCAAACAAATCCCACATAATGGAGAACCATCCGGTGAGCGTGATTTACCTCAGACGACGCCATCAGCAAACGGAGGTTTGTTTGATTTATGACTAGTCAGTGTTTTTACAGCAGCTCTGATGTCACTCCTGTTGTCAAAACTTATTTGAATAAACTTGTTTGGGTTTCACTGTTCAGGCTGATGAGTGTATCATTGAATTCTTTCTGTTTTTAAAGGAGAATCAGCATCTTTGCTGAGAGTTAAAGGAACAAAAACCCTGCTGGTATCAGCCTATTTAGAGCATCGCACAGCAGAAAAAGAAGTAAGCACGGTTCTCTCAGTTCCTTGAAGTCATTGAAAGATTATGAATTTGAAAAAGAAAAGATTAAAGCCTGAAAATCATGTTTGTGGATGTATTTTTATTGAACTTTTAAAGAGAATTGTCCTGAAGAATCCTTGAATCTTTTCTTCTGTTTGCTTTTTTGGGGGGAGGGGAAGTCATTAGAAACTGAACTAAATGGTGACTCATGTAAACATTTCATTATTTCTGGCTTTGTTGCTTTAGGTTTTTTGTGTTTCCTGTGTGTGCTCAGTGTAAACATGTCCTTAACGGCACATTAATGTCATTGCAGTACAATGCAGCTCTCAGGATGTATGGCATGACAAAGTAGGCTATGCTGATTGGTTGTTGAAGGTTTAGTGATCGCGCACATGCATGCATTCACTGGCTCACCAGTGCATTCAGTAGCCACGCCTTGAGCTCACGTAACATGCATGCATTCCTGCTCCCTCCATTTGTCCATCATTGCTAATCCTTTTTTATTTGTTAGAAAAATTTTTCTCATTCATCTTGAAATATTTCAATGTTTGTCTCTGCTTCAACTCTGTTGGAAAGCCAAACCCCTGGAAGTTGGACTAAAACATTTCAGTCCATCCCTCTGTGGTTTGTGTCTTGGAGAAAAGAAGCAGCACAGATATTTCTTTTTATGTCCTTTTTATGCACCACTAATGGTTCTTCTTGTAATGCCAGGTTCGTGTCATTGCAATCACGCCTCGGAGCGAGCAGGCGGTCTTTAACTGCCACCTAGACTGCCAAAGACAGCTCTACGTATCCAAAGGTGTCATCAAGCTCAACAAGGACTTCTTTGGCTATCTATATGGGACGGCAGACGTCATGTGTCCGCTTCCTCCAGGCTGTGAAACACCAGTTCATGTTGCCATTACCCTGAATGGCTCTAAAGGCGAAGGTACATGATGTGCTAATCATGATGGTTAGGAGCTAATGATGATTTTGAGCTGAGTCACAACATTGATTGGTTTCAGATTTAATCAGCATTGATGTTGAAGCTAATATATTGGGATTTATTCGACATAAAAGCTGAAAAGTGAAAAGTTACCCCAGAACTGAATGTGTCAAACTTGAGGCCTGTGCTCTGTTCTGTAGCTTCAAAGTAGAGAGCAGTCTATCTTTATTTACTTTATGAGTTAGAAAATAGTTTTAACACATTTATAAGTGAGAAAGTTGACCTCCAAGCATCGTCTGTTCATCAGTTCAATAGGATTACGATCCCACTAGAATATGCAGGTCTTGTTCTGAGCGCCAGACCAGCATACAGCCAGGAGGCAGCGCTGGAAAACCCCGCTGAAAGCTCTCTGCTGCAGCCAGCCTGTGGGGGGTTTCCTGCTGTCGTTTGTTGCGGATGTGAATAGAAAGAGTTTTTAAAGTTTGTGGTAAAAACTTCAATTTAGTTGTTTATTTGATGCAGTGAAGTTTTGTTAATGATGCTTTTGTTGCAGGACCAAACAAATACCACATGAACAGTCCACCGTCTTCCCCCTCCTGAAATAAACAGCTCATTTCACAAACAGCTTTTCTTTGAAAGACTGATATGATAAAATGAACCAATTTAAAAACAATTTTTTCCCCCTTTGCCCAAAGCTGATAAGCAATCTTCAGATATTCTAACTCTGATGGTTTGTTGTCATTAAGATTAGAGTTAGTTAACAACTTATAATTTGTAATACTTTTCAAACTCCTCATATCAGTGGTTTAATTTTGTCAACCAATTCCAACAACAACAAATTGTAGGAGGATGTTCCCTCTGGAGATAAATTTAAAATTTTCTTGAATAATATTGGTGTTTTTTTTTGCAGCACCTGACACCTGACTTGCAACACCTTCACCAGTTTATTGCATTCAGCCATGCCTTAAGATCACTTGCATGTCTATTCCTCCATTTACTATGTTTGTAATAATTTCATTGATTTGTTAATAACTACTTCTTTTTTTAAGGGAATGAAAAAGAAACATCCTAGTACTATTTTTTAAGAAATAAAGGGGCAAAAATTGGTTACAAAGTCAAGACAATGAAAAGACGACAGTTTTACTTGCAAAGTACGTCTACATATGGTTGAAAAGTGAAAGCTAAAAAGCCGCAATTTTCACAGTTGAAAAACAACTACTTGTTGAATTAATCAAGACTATGACGGACCGATGTAGCCTAAAAGCCAACGTCTAAATGATGTCTGGTGTTTTGGGGATGTTCCTCTTTAACACAACATTTATTAATCTATTTCAGGGAGAACGGATTCAGTCTTTAACAATGTTCTGTCTGTTGTGGCCAAACAAAGGACCCCACTAACTACTTAAGACTAGAAGGACAAAAGTTAGGTTTTCTCTCATACATGTAGACAGTTTTCTTCTGTTTTCACACTCAGAAGGATAGTTGATGTTTAAATAACCTTGAACTGAAGGAGTCTAGCTCCTTATCAAAACATTTAACTTTGTAAAACTGCTTCAGAGGGAGCAGTAATATAAGACTGACATGATGCCTTGTAAAGCAGGTTTACCTCTTTATTTTCAAAAACAGGCCAAGCTCTAACATCTATAAATGAAAGCACAGCTGATATTTCTCTTCAGGATGGAGTCACAGCCAAACAGGAACAGACCAGATGAAGCTACTATGAGAAAAAGCAGAGAGAGCAGAACGTTAGAGATTGAACTAACAGATTCTGCAGAGTGGGAGAATAGAGATAGAATGAAGCAGAATGATGAAAAAGGGGTCCCTATGTCCTCCAGCAGTCTAAGCCTATAGCAGCAGAACTATAGAGATAGATCAGGATAACCTGAGCCACTCTAACTAGAAGCTTTATCAAAAAGGAAAGTTTTAAGCCTAGCCTTAAAAGTAGACAGGGTGTCTGCCTCACGGACTAAAACTGGTAGTTGGTTCCACAGGAGAGGAGCCTGAGAACTAAAAGATCTGCCTCCCATTCTACTTTTAGAAATTCTAGGAACCACTAGTAAACCTGCAGATTGAGAGCGAAGTGCTCTGTTAGGAACATAAGGAACAATCAGATCTCTGATATCAGATGGAGCTTGGCCATTTAAGGCTTTATATGTGAGAAGGAGGATTTTAAATTCTATTCTGGATTTAACAGGAAGCCAATGAAGAGAAGCCAGGATAGGAGAGATATGATCTCTCTTTTTCATTTTCATCAGAACTCTGGCTGCAGCATTTTGGATCAGCTGAAGGCTTTTAACTACAGTTTGTGGACTTCCTGATAGTAAAGAATTACAATAGTCCAGCCTTGAAGTAACAAATGCATGGACTAGTTTCTCAGCATCACCCCTGGACAGGAGATTGCTCATTTTTGCAATATTCCTCAGATGAAAGAAGGAAATTCTAGAAACCTCTTTGATCTGGGATTTAAATGACAGGTCCTGATGATCAAAAACAACACCAAGATTTTTTACTTTATTGTCTAAAATCAGTTTAATCCCATCCAAATGAAGTGACTGACTAATCAGCTTCTTTTTCAAAGACTCTGGTCCAAAGACTATAACTTCTGTTTTGTCTGCATTCAGAAGCAGAAAGTTAAGAGTCATCCAGGTTTTTATGTCTTCAGACATGCCTGTAATCTATGTAATGGGTTAGCTTCAACTGGATTATAGACAGATATAGATTGGTGTCATCAGCCTTCTAATTTTCTCAAACACTAAGTTTTGTGTCTTTATTATCTTTAAGCACATAAAGATACAAATACATTTATTTATCCCAAACAAGGATGTTCAGTTTGCATCTAAAGAAATATGCAATTCTTCTGCAAAATTGCAAATAAAAATTTCCTTCTATTTGTGAGGCCTTACTTTTCATGCTTCATCAGAATGATGGTACCCTTAGAAGACTCATTAAAGGAGGGGTACCAACAATTTCTTCAACATGTGTATATACTCAATTGTGACACCATTCTTGGCTGATGTTAACATACATGTGTATTTGTATAGTTTTAAAATGAATCCTGTATATTAGTGAAATATTATTCTTCAAATTTGCCTTTTGTTTCTTCTTTTATTTTTAGATCATGACTTTCTGGAGGTTAAGAACCAAAAGGCAGAAACCGAATCCTTACCTTACAACTTCACAGTGTGTTTTCCTGTCATGTTTGAGTTCACAAATGTCCTGCAGGTGAGAAAAAAATTAAGTGTTTTTACGAAACTAAAAAGCTCATTTAAAAACATCATAAATATGAATAATTGCTAATGTGAGGAAACACATTTCCTTCTGGGTGTCATTAGCTCATTGTGTAGCTTTTGCAGCTTAGTTGTTGTGAAATGGTTTAAAACATTATAAAACAATGAATTTATCATGGGAAAAGTAAATGTATTGAAATAAATAAAGAATTAAAAAATAAGGGCATAGCTGCAAAAATGTCAATAGAATATTTAGGTAAATATGAAATGTTTTCAATGGTAGAAAATACATTTGCTTTGAGTGTTTTGTTACATTTTTACAGATTCTACATTTTGAACCCCAAAGTACAAAATCTGAGAACCTAGAAACTAAAATCCTACAGGTTCACTGGCATCTTGACCCTTCATCTCTTTTAGAGAGTAGAACCTGAAAGCCTCCCATGTGTTGCAGCTGGTGCAGAGTTTGGAGATGCTTCAGTTACTGGGAGTGAATAAAGCTGTCATCTACAAGACCAGCTGCAGCCTGGAGATTCAGCGTGTGCTGGACTACTACACAAGCACAGGTTCAGTATATAGATTTGTTGTTTGCATTAACAGCCTGATTTCAATTCAGTGTATTCTAACTCCCAAATAGTTGCTCAGACCAAAACAGTCTTTTAAGTTTCCAAAATGGGTGGTTGAAAGAACATACATGCAGTGTATCACTAAATGCAACCCTCACTTTTCTGCAGATAATTAAGAATTTCTTTTCATGGGACAACACTGCGGAAATGTTATTTTGAATCTATAAAACACGGTCTGTGAGTAGCTTATATACTGTAACAATGTAAATTTATAGTTCACTTATCATACACAATATGCAGCCATCAGAGGTATTTAAAGTTTTATTGTTCACTACTCCAGTAGAAGTATAAATCCTGCTGTTTAAAAACACTTTTGTAGAAGTTACAGTAGAAGATCAACTTAAGCTTTTTACTACAGTAACATTTTAGAAGTACTGTTTTTAAAACTAGTAAAAATTAAAAATTAGAAGTAATGTAGAAAAAATGTTAAGGACAGAAGCTTTACTGTAATTATTTCTGGATGATCTTTTCTTTAGACTTTATTTTCTTAGTTTTATAACTTATGGTAACAATGTTAAACTTAACTTTGCAACACCTTGAAGAAAGTATTTATTTTGGTATGTGATGAAAAACAAGTTGGGGCAGCACCGTGTCCAACCACAAAGAAATTAATTGTCTAGATGAAACAAATTATAAGGAAAAGAAAAATTTTATTTTTGAAATATAAGGAGTAGAAAGTAGAGATAAATGCAAAAAACTGTAAGGAGTAGAAGTGAAAAGTTGTTCAATAAAGTATTTGTACTTTGTTACTTGACACCTCTGACTACACCCCTAAATGTCCAAATTAAGCATTGATAGTGATTTGTCCTCTAAAATGTCATGTGACTTGTTAGGTCTCAAGTGTTCAGAAGAAGCAGGTGCGTTCAATTTTGTTGTCCAGCTCTCTCTCTCTCCCATACTGGTCATGGCTGCTCAGGAACTGCTAGAGTACCACTGCCCGGCGTTGTCCCTAGTCTGGGCCTGTCTAAGCTGTTTGCTTCTAGGCATAGTCTAATTCTTGGATGCTCAACAACCCAAGGATGGGCTCTAGCTCTGACACTCTTTCCTCCACAGCTAAAAAAATACACTTATTACACACGTCATTATCGTTGCAGAAGAAAACTACATCTTTCACAGAGAGTAGGAGATCTGTAATTGAATCTATATAAACAGCAGCGGTCAGTTTTCTGCTAACAGTGTTTTTCTGTATTGAGGTTGAAATGACATTTTGTTTTTGGGTTTTGTCTCTTCAGGTTTCGTTGAGGTGGTTCCTTGGTCTCTGTCAAAGTATCTGAATGTATCTCGAGGTTTTATGTCTCATAAGGATCCAGGTGATATCCACTACTTTGGTCAGATGCCTGCTCTTAGTGACTGCCTCTACAGATACATGTACCAGTCAAGATATATGGCCTTCCAGGACCCAGATGAGCTCATCTTGCCCCAGTCTGTC